GCATTTATTGTTTGAATACTGCAATACAATGGACAGAATTTGAAATCGGACACTTTGTTTCATATTAAAAGTACCAAAGCACAAGGCTTATTGCGATATATTGGATGAGAAGTACCCTTCAATGTTCCGTCCATTAACTGAAAACAGGCTAGACTAATCGATTCTTGGGATTTAAGAATCGATATCGTTTGGAAAAAAATGAGATAAATATATAAATAATGTTTGTAAAACGGCACAGCTTTTTAAATGTGAAAGTACACTCTTAACATCAGTCAGTCAAGCATTATAATATGATAATCAAGTATTATTTAATTATTGAACTTTAGTAATTACAATTAAAATGTGGTAACTATGTATGAATGCATATTAGTTATTTTAACTGAACTTAGGACTGGTGGTGGTGCTTTTTGGTCATTCAGTGTTTCAGTAAAAAAAAATGGGAAAAAACTAACAATAATACTGATAAGATGATTAATTCTACTAAGAACAATATAAAACACTCTAAGGATTACCGAGCTGCTGGATTCATGAATATTAATCAGGCTGTGTGCGTTCGCTCGAACTGATTTGCTGAAATTAAAACAGGGATGATGATAATAGGTGAGCACCAGCCAATGAGATTGTCGTTTGCGCATTAGTTCCGCCTACTACCAGAAAACCCGGCAGTTCTTAAAAGCTGAAGAATTCCAAAAGAACTGTTATTTTGACGGGAAAATACAAAGAATGTCGTTTACATGTAGCACATTAATTCTGCATGGTGTGTAAGACTCTCTCGCTCTGTCTCTCTCTTCTCTGCTTGTGTGTGAGACAAAGCTACGGCGAGTCGTGTGCCTTCACACTGCAGTTTACGGTACGTCAAATATAGGTGCGCTGCACATCCATTGAGATTAATTGAAAGATAGCGCAGATTGCTTGACGTGATTTACTCTCAATGTAGAGGGTTGCTGTTCCTCAGCAACCTCCTCGTCCCCATTGGTTTTACGCGAGCATCGTTTAGCAGAAATAGGTTTTGGGATTTGTGAGTTCTTGAATGAATGGTTCAATACCCATTTCCACACTGCTATTCTTAGATGAGTGTGATAATGAGATCTTAATTATATGATGAGCAAAATCTCACACCTCGTTGTGCGATATTTCTGGTACATGCCGCCTCATTGCATCTCTTAAAATGGGCAGTTTCAGTGATGCCGTGATGAATTTTGCCGTTTGTTATGTTATGCAGTTTAATGAATGTGGTGCTCAGAACATCCTGATGCATGATGGGAATCTGATGGCACTGATCAATTAAGTTCTCCTATTGCATCCTTTGTGTCTCGTCCTGGGATTCCTGTTCTCTTGCACAAGTCGTAGGTTTGGGAAATTTGTCCCAGGCTGGATTTGTTTTTGCGTTTGCTCAGAAATGTCCTTCCTGTAGTTATTCTGTGTTTGGCTGTGACAGGCAGAAGTTCCTCATTGTCTGACATGTCAGCTCTTTACCCTGCCGATTTAAAAGAATGTGCAACTATTAACAAAAAAAATGCCATCACTGCTTTTTTGCAGTCAGTTGTGACTGTGTTCTAAAATACTTGCTTTCACATACTCACTGTTTCTGTGAAGTCCCTGTCACTTGCCATGTATGCAGTGAATACAGTGCTGTTTTGTGAGAAGGATGTTTATTTTTTTTAAATATATTGTTTGGCCTGTAGTACCAATTCTGTTTTGTAATGATGCTTTATTGCATTTTCAGAGTGTCTTTTATACTATGTTGCCAACTATTATGTTCTGTAGTTCGATCTAAAACAAGTGGCAACAGTGCTTTAATGTGCAGAGATGCATTTGTAAGTGACCGGTTCTTAGTAGGCACGTTCAAATCAATATGTACTCAAAATGGACCACTAGATTCTTTATCAAACATGTTTCTTAGGGGTGTGTGGAAGGTAAGTGCAGACTTTTAGTAGGGTTATTAATGGATCGTCAGCTAATACATAGGCCAGATAACTAAACTTTCATGGTCTTTACAGAAAACCGATATCTGCAGATTATCACACTAAAATGAAAGTTGCCTCAAAACATGTTTAAAGCAGTTATGCTTTAAATTGGATATTTCAATTAATATGTAATAGTTATTCTCATGGGCGACATTTGACTCTTGAGTCAGGGGGGGGCAAAAAAAATTAATAAAATATAAATAAATTTTTTTTTTTTTCTGATGTAAGCATCAAAACAATGCCCTACCGTATTGCAACGCATCAAAGCAGTCAATCCAACACAGTCAAGAATAATTTAAAGAGGTTGCCACCGTTTAGTAAACTGTGAACTAGCTTTGGCTCTTCCTGCTGACTTGAATGGTGATACTTCCCGTTTTTCAGTTGATGGCCTTTCATTTTTAAACATTTTTTGCACGCTGCTTTTCTGATGTTTCCGTGTCTTTTTCCCGTGTCACTTGAAATGTTTCCGTTTTGAATCGTTGTTACCAAAGGCGAGACACGCGAGGAAAGAAATAAACGATCAGTTGTGGGACTATATTCTGTCATAAATCGCACACCATTCATTGCTGAACTTTCTACCGACCGTTACTGGAAATTAAATTAAATTCCTGGTTGATATGTCCCGATCTCAATAAAGTTTACGCACGCTTTTGGTCCGTGAATTAGATCTCATTCGGGACGCGCACTCTCTGTGGAGGTTTGGCCTGGACTGGTTCCAGAATTAAATCAACATATTTTATGTTCCGTCCATTGCAAACCACTGCTATTCTGAGAGTGAATCCCGCATAAATATGCGGATGTCATTCCCGAAACTTTGCATGGTGTAGTAGCCTGTGTGTCCGAAAAACGAAAGTTTCATACAAATTCTGAATGGATTATACCCTAGAAAGTGCGCAAAGTGCACTTCCTTTATCACTAAAAAGTATCACTCATCTTCGCTCATCGTGATCTTACAAAGTTCCATTATAATCAATGAAGCTCTCTAAACTGCACAATTAATCTCTTATTAACATTGCGTTTGCACGTTAGTCATGAGATGATTCACGAGTGTGCAAAAGTGCACTTAAAAACTGCGGCGCTTTCAGCGGTGAGTGAATTCTGACAAAACGTTTCTGATTGACCATTGCATTCAAGAAATCAACAGATATCTGTGATTGGTTACATTGCTCAACGCTGCAAAAACACATTTAGGGTATTTAGCGCTTGGCCAAGCACTCCAATTGCAGCGGGGCTGACATCAGGGATTCCATGACTTACAATTTGGGGGGGTAACATGACTAACAACTTGTCCCCCCTGACCCCCCCTAATGTCGCCCATGGTTATTCTGAACTTGTTGATGGTTGATTAAGTAGCTTTCAATCCTTGATGGTGTTTTGTTCTTCTAGTGATATTACTATGATCGAGATGTGCACAATATTATTTTACCACTAGATATAGTGTAATAGAGTAGAATAGAATGCAGGGCTCACAAATGTTGAAATTTACATGTCATCTTAAAGAGGGAGTTCATCAAAAATGAAAATGGTCATTTACTTGCCCTCATATCATTCCATACCCGAATGAAGTAGATATTTTGAGAAATGTCTCTGAGATTTCAATTAAAGTCAATGGACAGACACCAAAACTTATTGGTCACAAACAAATTTTATTTTCAAAATAAATACAATGACATAAGAGTGAGTAGATGAGAGAATTTATTATCCCTTGTTTCTATATTTATTTAAAGCTTTCTATATCTGATGTATTCGACCAGAAGTGGGTAGTGATGGTTTAGTAGTAGGATGAAGACAAAGATAATTTAGCCTCCAGTCTGTTGAATGTAGGCCATTATGAGTCATGTGAAGACTCCCTGCCCCCTTTCCTCATCTCCTTCCCTCCCTCTGTCCCCTGCTCACACTTTCGTTTGTCAGGTTGGGGTGGACCCTGAAGTAATGATCATAAAACAGTTTCTTGGAATTTGAGGCCACTAACATTCAAAATATGAAATTCTCTATGGCTTTGTAATAGTTTGGCGTCAATTGATATGGCCTTTTGGTAGCAATGCTGGTAGTCTTGGTAGCCTCATAATGATTTAGGGTGTTTTTACAGGGTAGTTATTGAATGCAGTTTAACAGTTGGCCAGCATTGCTAAGAGGAAACGGAAAGCCTTTAAAATCAGTCAACCGATCATACGTACCACCTTATCTGGTTTAATGAATCTTGAAGTGAATCCTGGTTGCAGATGATTGGAGATGCTGCGGTTGTTTATTAACATGAGTAGCATCCAAAAGCCAAGCTGGTTTTAAAATGTCTGCTTATAAGCCAGGTTTCCATGCTAAATTGCTAATTTAACTTATGCGCAAAATTGAAATATTGCATAAAACATTTGCACCGTTTCCATCCACAAGTCAAAGAACGAAATCGTCACTTCCTGGTAAACTGGCACTATATATATATCACTAAGAAAAGTAGGAGAAGCCACTGAATATAATAATTTTCATATATAATAAATTACTTGCACCTCAGAGTGAGCAGACGAAAACAAAATAAATGCGGTCATTGCTTTTGGAAGTCGTGTAATAGTTCTGGGAGGCAATTATACACAAATGCTTTGATGACAGACTTTGCTCGGGCACTTTAAAATGACCATAACTTTTCAGATGCTGTGGAACGAGATCAGACCGCTGGTCAGTCAAGATATGCTGTCCCATGGCGCAAAGTTACATTACTATTTTTGATGCGCATGGAGAAATTTACTCGGCAAATGCGTTTCCATGTCCCATTATTCGCATTAACTCTTTTTCGCACAAGTCAAAAACCACCTCAAGCAAAAACCACCTTGTGTAAACTTTTTTGCAAATTAAATTTTTATTTGAAATTTGTCGTTTCCATCACTCGTTTCTGATGTGATTAAAAACAGACTGATGCAAACCTAGCTATAGATACATGTAATGAACACAATGTAGAGTGTCCAGAATTGTAGGCATTTGAACAATTTGAGTTCCCATTACATGTAAGAAATTATTAATAAGGTTATTCTGGGTGTCCTGCAGGCATTCGACCACCCATCCTCAATGGCCCCATGCACCCTCGTCCTTTGGTGGCGCTGCTGGATGGCCGGGACTGTACGGTGGAGATGCCCATCCTGAAGGATGTGGCCACCGTGGCCTTCTGTGACGCCCAGTCCACCCAGGAGATCCACGAGAAGGTAAAGTCACAGATCGTGGCCATATCTCAGGCCTTTATACATTTCATAGGTTTTTACTCCGAGCATTTCATGCTGCTGCAGGTCTTAAACGAGGCTGTTGCAGCTTTGCTCTACCACACCATCACGCTCTCGCGAGACGACCTGGACAAGTTCAAAGGTCTTCGGGTCATTGTGAGGATTGGCAGTGGTTTTGACAATGTGGATATTAAAGCTGCAGCAGAGCTGGGTGAGTTTTGTTCCTGTGTTGTGAAATAATTGTGTTTGACTGTGTGAGTTTCAGACAAACTAACCGTTTATACTGGTTCTTTGTCTTAAACAGGTATAGCAGTGTGTAATGTGCCAGCCGCATCTGTAGAGGAGACGGCAGACACCACCATGTGTCTAATTCTGAATCTGTACCGCCGCGTCACCTGGATGCATCAGGCTCTGCGCGAGGGCACCCGTGCCTCCAGCGTGGAGCAGATCCGGGAGGTGGCCGGAGGCGCAGCACGTGTTCGAGGGGAAACGCTGGGCATCATTGGACTGGGTGAGTCCTGATGAGTTTTACTCGGGGCTCAAAGAATCAGCTCAATTAAGGCAACAGCTGACAGCAAATGTAACTTCTATACCTATAAAATAACTAGAATATAAGTTGTACTACTAAATATAAAACGAGACAAACTGCAGCTTAATTTTAACTAAATATTAAAATAACTAAATATTTATAAATAAATAAAAAAAGACTTAAGACACTACAGGCAAAATGTTTTTTTGTTTTTTTTCATGCACTGGTCAATTTTGAAATTGTGAGCTTTTTGGCTTTTCATAATGTGTGGTTTGCAATGCACTGTCTATTTGCATCTGTAGACTCTGTTACAATAATATCTTTAAAGGACTTTTTTTTCAATGAGGTTTTCAATTTCTCCTGTAAATCTCCACTTTAGTATCACTCACACCAAACGTTATAGTTTTATTCCTGTTTATATTTTGAAATATTTTTACAAAGGGTTTGTTCTAGTGCCGTCAAATTGAATGATCGCATCAAAACGTGAATTGTAACATGAATTTAGAACCTGGCTTTATCCATGTTCATATTTCTGTTCTGGAAATGTATGAGAACTAGTGCATCTTTTCATATTTAAACATTTTCAGAAAACTTGCAATACAAAAAATGTTTGCAATTCTTGATGTAATCAATCAAACTTGGGGAGTATGGTGGTGTTTATTTTTTAAAACCAAATTTACCTGGGGTGCCTTGTTTTAAAATGAATCATCAGTGAGTCTTCTTTTCTGAACCTCAATATAATCTCAGTTTTAACTGATTTGAGGTTAGTAATCTGGTCCAAACTGAGACTAAAACAATTTCTTATGATGGCTGTTTTTAGGACGTATTGGCCAAGCAGTTGCTCTGAGGGCGAAGGCCTTTGGGTTTGGAGTGATATTCTATGACCCGTACCTGCCGGATGGGGTGGAGCGATCACTAGGGCTCCAGCGCATGGCGACACTACAGGACCTGCTCATCCACTCAGACTGTGTGTCGCTACACTGCAGCCTAAATGAGCACAACCACCACCTCATCAACGACTTCACCATCAAACAGGTACAAACTCAATACTCTTCTCATTAAACAGCACTGTGGGAGCCGTTCGGTTCTCTGACTGCTTTTGGTATGGACCTGGGTCTGTTTGACATCAGAGTTTGACTCATTTGCTTCATGAGAAAGCTGTTTTTTTTTTTTTTTTAACTTGGGTTTACGCAACGGAACCACACCCATTGCTGGATTATGGTTCATGTGGACTCGCAGTTGGTATGACGCCAATCCGGCCTGATTTTCAAAAGTAAACTGGCGATGCCATGTGCATTACACATTTATTTCCAAGATAAATGGAAACGTTTATTCTGCACAACTATTTCAATACAACACAGAGAACAACACTCTCTCCTCCACAGATAAGGACTCGGAAGGAAGCAAAAATGGTGAAAAGTGATGCAAGCAGTGTAGCTGCTTAGCTGCAGGTGCTGCTAGATAGGAAACGCACTGTTTTGAGTGCAGAATAGCTTGCTGTAAAAAGAGACCTGTGGTTTCAGGAGATCAGGGTTCCTATGCGGTTTGGGAAAGTATGGAATTTGATTTTATTAAATTCCAGGTCTGGAAATGTATGGAAAAAAAGAGTATAGGAAAATATTTGCATTTCCAGACTTTTGCTCCTATTTGGTTTATAATAGAAAACTAAGAATTTTAAAGAAATAAATGTATCTTACAAGAAGTGTTTTCATGGCAGATGTTTAGTGATTCTTTAGTGATTGTCAAACACGACTGAATGAACTCAACGTGCACTTTTAATTAGGCAAAATGCAGGTCATAAGCATTTTGGGTTTTTTCTCACAATATTTTTTTTGCACTGTTACATAGTAGGGCTGGGTAAAAAATATCAATATCTCGATATTAATCGATTCTCATTTTTACGGAACGATATCGATTCTTAAATCCCAAGAATCATTTAGTCTAGCTTGTTTTCAGTTAATGGACAGAAGTTTGAAGGGCACCTCCCATCCAATAAGCATTGTGCGTTGGTACTTTTAATATGAAACAAAGTCTCAGATTTCGAATTCTGTCCATTCTATTGCAGTATTCAAACAATAAATGCCGTTTTGGCACTGTTTAATGTGGAGTGACAGATTGCTGTAGCGCCTCAGTTCAACAGACGCAGCAGCGCAAAGGCGCACGTGAACCAATCATCTCCTCCACATTAATACCAGTTTCAGCACAAAATAAACATGACTAAACATCCGAAGGTGAGTTAAAAGAAAGAGTACAACTTTACAATCCATATCCTGTCTCCTGTAATCACTCAATCTGTTTCAGCCGTGCAAATACGTCAATATAACAGCTTGTAAACAATGTCACGTAACGTCACATTTACCTCAGAAAAATGTATTCGGTGACCATAAACTCATTAGTCAGATAGAAAAATAAACTGTAGAGAGGGGCATTTTGCTTAATATATGCACCATATTCATTATAATGTTTACTGTTCTTCAATGTTTAGTTTGTTTGAATTAGGCCTGTCACGATAACAACTTTTTGTTGTGCGATATATTGCCCCAGAAATAATTGGGATAAACAATATTATTGTCATTTTAAAGACCATTTTATGCCACTGAATATATAATCATAATGTAACAGCATAATAATGCAAGAAGGCCAACACACTTCCAAATGACAACAAACTTTTAATTTTTAAGAATATTTAGATCATGGAAATTAAGTATCAAAATATTAGATACCTTAAAATATAAACATTTTCTAACAAAAAGTGCAAAGTAACAAGTACAAAAAAAGAAAAATGCGCTTTTATGGAGATTTTTCCATCTACTGATTTTTCCCTGGCCGCCTTTTCTCTGTAAATGAAGGGTGCACACTATTGCTGAAAAACACAATCACTACTCAGCAGTCAGATGTCCGTATGCACAAAGGCACAGATCCCTAAACAAGGCCATATCTGCAGATTCAACTTTTGTAGAAGCATTTTTAAAATTTGAACTAGCACCTCATGACTACACACGTTATGTACGAGAAGCTGCAAAAGACTCCGGCGCAAGTGGAATGTAAAAAACACGGTGACGTACATTTTTAAGTATATATGGCGATATATTGCGTCACCAAAAATTATTGAGGTCATGTACATATATTGCGCGACAAGTGGATAATTTGATTATTGCGACAGGCCTAGTTTGAATAAATCCATCAAGTTTTTATGACAGCCACCATTTAAATGTTTATATAAAAAAAAACGAATTTTAGTACGTTCGAAATTGGTAATCGAATCGCAAGCTTGTGAATGAGAATCGAATCGTGAAATTTTTGTCAACCCAGCCTTATTACATAGCCTCAAGAACCTTTGCAAAAATAAAAAATAGAGACTTTGTGTGCACAAGAAACCATTAAATTTAGCATATAGGACAATGCACACTGAGCCACCTATTGTGACATCAGCCCATTTCGTGTCATGGTTTTTCCGCTGCCACAGAGGATGTTAAATTGTACATTAGACCTTGATATTAGAGGTACTACCATAAAGAGACAAATTGAGCAAGTAAATCTCTTTAATTCTTGTGCATCCATGCTCTCGTTTTATTCATAGTAAGATGGCAGTGATGATTATATAAAACTAGAAATTATAATGTGTAAGCGTGCCAAAAATTCTCATGCGCACCTGAATAGTTTCTCGAGGGCACAAAAAATTTTTTGTGCATGCTAAAGTCAGTTTTTTTGTTGTTTTTTTTATGTACAGTCAAACCACAAATTATTCAGACACCAGATATAAATGTATATATTTTTTTACTAATGGGTGCAGGACAGTATAGTTCATTTATGTAAGTGAGGATAGCAAAAGAAAGTAAACTGTGACATACCCAAAAATTCTTCATACAGTGGACTACCAGTAAAAAGCTATTTAACCTTATTCATTACATACCTTCCTATCAAAGTTATCTGACATTATCGAGACACAGTTTAACTCTTGAGTTCTTGTCATATTTTATTACCATTTTCTGAACTATAGTGAATAAACTGTGATCATGTGAGATGTTGAAGGTGTCTGAATAAATTTTGGTTTGACTATCTATTTATTTTAGGGGTTCTATGTTGTCACTTTGAGAAAATCAATTTTTTTTTAAAAACTAAGAAAATAAAAATATTTACAGATGACTGCACTATATACCAAATATAATGCTGAAATTAATGCTGTGTAGGAATAATAATGTGTAGGAACCCTGGGAGATTGATGTGGAAATGAACCAAGTGTGAAAACTCTTATAAGCTAGTTGAATTTGGCTTCCTTTTAATATCTGTTAATGCTCTTATTTGTAGATGCGTCAGGGCGCCTTCCTCGTGAACACGGCGCGTGGCGGTCTGGTGGATGAGAAGGCTCTGGCCCAGGCTCTGAAAGAGGGCAGAATACGGGGAGCAGCCCTGGACGTCCATGAGACGGAGCCCTTCAGGTGAGGGACTCAAGTTTCCTGTTTGCTTTCATTATTATTCTGAAATGTTACTGGAACAGTAATTTTCAGTTTCACTAAACTACTATGAAATTATTGTCTAATCCACATTCAACAATTGGCCTGTCAAAGCCCTTACACTGGAGGCTATTTTTTTTCTATCATGACACTAACTCCATTTTCTTCAACAGTTTCTCTCAGGGCCCACTGAAGGACGCCCCAAATCTTATCTGTACCCCACACACATCCTGGTACAGTGAACAGGCCTCCATTGAGGCCAGAGAGGAGGCGGCGCGGGAGGTTCGCAGAGCCATCACAGGTCAGAAAACTGCCTGCTGTGAATAAATAGCATATTGTTCATTCTATAATAAGTGTTGCAAATAAGGATGTGCATCTCATGACTCGGGCCGATACGATACGCATCTCAATGCATAGCCAATGATACGATACATTAAAGATACATATGAAGCAGCTACCGATGCGATACATACGATTCACCCCTATTACGATGCAGTGCGATCCGATTTCGATTCGATTCAACACAATGCGATTCGATGCAATGCAATGGAGAAAATATTATCACTTTTAATGCCTCGAAGGCCTGTTTCAAGTTAACCAAATAAGCCAGGGTTATTTCAGTTAGTCTGACTCAGTCAAATGATTTGGTTCCATAAAGCAAATTGAACATAGGCATAGATCAAGCTTAGTCACCGTGGCAACTTATGCTGGGAAACTAACCTGGTCTAAAGCAGTTTAACTGTCAGGCTAAGCTAAGCTCTTCTACTGACCAATAAGAACATAGCGATATTACCACTGTCTCACATACTATTATTTGACTTTTTTTTTTTTTCGTTTTATTCATAGTAAGATGGCAGTGATGATTATATAAAACTAGAAATTATAATGTGTAAGCGTGCCAAAAATTCTCATGCGCACCTGAATAGTTTCTCGAGGGCACAAAAATTTTTTTGTGCATGCTAAAGTCAGTTTTTTTGTTGTTTTTTTTATGTACAGTCAAACCACAAATTATTCAGACACCAGATATAAATGTATATATTTTTTTACTAATGGGTGCAGGACAGTATAGTTCATTTATGTAAGTGAGGATAGCAAAAGAAAGTAAACTGTGACATACCCAAAAATTCTTCATACAGTGGACTACCAGTAAAAAGCTATTTAACCTTATTCATTACATACCTTCCTATCAAAGTTATCTGACATTATCGAGACACAGTTTAACTCTTGAGTTCTTGTCATATTTTATTACCATTTTCTGAACTATAGTGAATAAACTGTGATCATGTGAGATGTTGAAGGTGTCTGAATAAATTTTGGTTTGACTATCTATTTATTTTAGGGGTTCTATGTTGTCACTTTGAGAAAATCAATTTTTTTTTAAAAACTAAGAAAATAAAAATATTTACAGATGACTGCACTATATACCAAATATAATGCTGAAATTAATGCTGTGTAGGAATAATAATGTGTAGGAACCCTGGGAGATTGATGTGGAAATGAACCAAGTGTGAAAACTCTTATAAGCTAGTTGAATTTGGCTTCCTTTTAATATCTGTTAATGCTCTTATTTGTAGATGCGTCAGGGCGCCTTCCTCGTGAACACGGCGCGTGGCGGTCTGGTGGATGAGAAGGCTCTGGCCCAGGCTCTGAAAGAGGGCAGAATACGGGGAGCAGCCCTGGACGTCCATGAGACGGAGCCCTTCAGGTGAGGGACTCAAGTTTCCTGTTTGCTTTCATTATTATTCTGAAATGTTACTGGAACAGTAATTTTCAGTTTCACTAAACTACTATGAAATTATTGTCTAATCCACATTCAACAATTGGCCTGTCAAAGCCCTTACACTGGAGGCTATTTTTTTTCTATCATGACACTAACTCCATTTTCTTCAACAGTTTCTCTCAGGGCCCACTGAAGGACGCCCCAAATCTTATCTGTACCCCACACACATCCTGGTACAGTGAACAGGCCTCCATTGAGGCCAGAGAGGAGGCGGCGCGGGAGGTTCGCAGAGCCATCACAGGTCAGAAAACTGCCTGCTGTGAATAAATAGCATATTGTTCATTCTATAATAAGTGTTGCAAATAAGGATGTGCATCTCATGACTCGGGCCGATACGATACGCATCTCAATGCATAGCCAATGATACGATACATTAAAGATACATATGAAGCAGCTACCGATGCGATACATACGATTCACCCCTATTACGATGCAGTGCGATCCGATTTCGATTCGATTCAACACAATGCGATTCGATGCAATGCAATGGAGAAAATATTATCACTTTTAATGCCTCGAAGGCCTGTTTCAAGTTAACCAAATAAGCCAGGGTTATTTCAGTTAGTCTGACTCAGTCAAATGATTTGGTTCCATAAAGCAAATTGAACATAGGCATAGATCAAGCTTAGTCACCGTGGCAACTTATGCTGGGAAACTAACCTGGTCTAAAGCAGTTTAACTGTCAGGCTAAGCTAAGCTCTTCTACTGACCAATAAGAACATAGCGATATTACCACTGTCTCACATACTATTATTTGACTTTTTTTTTTTTATAGCCATGCAGCCTTTCTATCTGGTTTTATGACAGCTGTACTGTTTATAGTTTGCAGAACATTAGAACATTACAATCTAAAAATGCTCTGTAAAACATTAAAATAACTAAATTAAAAGTTAAAATCGCTGAATTAAAAATAAAAAATAAATAATAAAGAAAATGACTAAATTTTACCTGCTGTAAGAAACACACTAACTCATTTGAGCTTAGTAATTAGCAGCCTACTATCTTACATTTGATTGACCCATTACAATAGTCCACTTACAGTTACTGCTGTCATAAAAATACACTTTTATATGTAGGTTTAAAATTCTACAAAAGACACATTTAATGTCCAAAAACAAATTTTTTTGCAAAGTGTATATTTTACTCAGAATTATTGTGCTCCTATTCGATTGCACTCCTTCTGTTTAGCGTGCATGCGTGCAGCTGCGCTCGTTCACTCGCGTTAGCCTCGCCCACTCCTGACAGCAAAATTTTTCCATGATCGACATTAAGGTCTGCTTAAGAATAAGCATGCACAAATTAGTGGGATTGTGTGAATTTAATTTGTCGTTTATAAAACCGCTTTAGCCCCAATTGATTTGTTAGGTTATTTCAGGTCAGGTTTTGGACTTTAATCCCAGTTTTTCCTCGGGTCTCCGTGGTGTTGTGATGCGTCATATTCACGCAGCAGCGGAGGAGAAATCAATCTACGTATAAAATGTTGGTCACAGATTATTGGTCACTTTTTAAATAATAAAAGTATAGCGCATCCACTAGTAATTATATATAAATCGTTTTTTACCGATGCAAATATGTTTGAAACGATGCATCGCGATATAAATGACAACTTGTAGCTGATGCACACTTTTTAAACCGATGCATCGCATTGTTAACTTTTTATGCCGATGCACAGAGCGAATCTGAAAATCTTCCCATCCCTAGTTGCAAAACATGCCAGAGTAATACAAAACTTTGAAGTATTCATGTCCAGTTCCAATTGAGCTGTAGCCAGTTTTTGCATAGGTCCAAATGACACTGCGCTCTCTTGTGTGTGTGCAGGTCGTATCCCAGACAGTCTGAAGAACTGCGTGAATAAGGAGTATTTGATGGCAGCCTCTCAGTGGCCGTCTATGGAGGCCACCACCGTTCACTCTGAACTCAACGGAGCTGCAGCCTATAGGTAACTACACCTCCCTCCTGTCTGCCATTAGTGCTTTTACTAGGGCTCGGAAATAAATTGATGCATCGCGAATCGAGAAATTATTCGGCATTAGATTTTCCGAATGCATCGCGATTCTTTCTCGAGTCGATTCTGAGCTTAGTTTTCAACAGCAGATGGCACTACATGCTTTTAGAAACCGCCGTACTCTGCTCGTTTCCAAATCCTTACACACACTTGAACCAGAAATAATAATTGAAGCGAATAACAAGGGTGTTCACAGTGGGCTCTGTTTCCATTAATCTCGAGTCATAAAAGCATACTCATAATCATACTCATCCAAACGCACAAGCGCTCTTCAGCACTCCTCTTCATTAGCACTTGAGTGTGTGGATAAAAACTAGATTAGAGCGCCATCTGCTGTTAAAATCTAAGCTCAGATTCAATTCCAGAGAGAATCGCAAATGCATTCGGAAGATCTCAGAAATGATCCACGAATCGATTCTGCCTCGATTTATCGTCGCGGCCCTAGCTTTTACTGTATCTCGGCGTGTTTGAGAGAGTGAAAACATGTCTCTGTCGTAGGTTCCCTGCAGGGCTGATTGGCGTAGCAGCGGGTGGGCTGCCTGGAGCCGGGGCAGGAGTGGAGGGCATTGTGGCTGGATCTCTGCCCCTGGCCCACGGCATCGCCCCAGTCTCACACCCGCCTCATACCCCCTCGCCCGGGCAACCCTCCAAGGCCGAGGCGGACAGAGACATCCCTTCCGACCAATAGCATCCCAGCACATTCCATCTTTGCCCTGATCGATGCCCTTTCACCTCACCCGGGGGGACTGACGCCCCTGCTTTCGATGTGACCTTGGGTCACCCCAGTCCAACAGAACACGTGTACAAACCTAGGAGGGAAACCCTGTACCCCGAACGTACCCCTCATTTCCACTCGGTCTCCTCTATTGTTCACTTTGGCAGAAAGCAATAACTTCTCAAGGATTCAATAATTGGGTTGATACACACTATTTCTAAGCTACGAAATCCCAGTTCCTTTGCTTTGTATCTACTCTGGACTAGTTGGAGTTTTTTTCCGATTAGTGTTTCTTACATTTCTGTTCTGTTCTTTTCTTATCTGTTTTAACAGCGTGGAAATAAACGCATGGACCTTGTTTTCTTTCCTTCGTCCCCTGCCCATCCTCTTCCTAGCATACATTTGTAAAACCTTCTCAACCTGTCCCATCTTAGCAAACATTTGATCATCAAAACAAAGCATCAGCTGGCTACCGTCTTTAAATTCAGCATTTTATTATTTATTTATAATAAAATTATTTCACAGCTGGTGTTCAATAATGGAGATCAAGGCTAATGGCTATGGCCCGTGGCTAAGAGTAACAGTCCATGGGAAGAGCTCAGATGTCTCGCGTTCCTCTCACTCTCTCTTCATGTGGAAGGCATCTTCTAGATTTGTCCATCCTCTCTCTCTCCTTCTCTTTATTTTTGCAGAAAACAAGAGCTTCGCCCCCAGAGCTGTTGGGGGTTTGATCATGTGCTCCACTTTAAGTCACAAGATTTACAGCGTCCGTAATGCCTGAGGTCTGCATAACAGTGTCATTGAAAACGCATACGTGAGATTCCATCGTCTCGTGATAGCCGACTTGATTTTATTTTGTGCACTGCTTGTGAATGATGATGATGATGATGGGAGATTGCTCGTAGGCAGCCAGCTTCATAAATGCAAATTTCAAACAAAGCCATATTCATAGTGTATAGCATCTCTAACTTAAGACATATCTGCAAGATTTGACCTAGCCTCAAAAAATGCTCTTTTTACAATGTGTGCGTACAGCATTGACCTCCGCTTGACTCATACTGAGATCCACCATAGCTAAGCTGATAACATTGGCACCTTTTTTAATTTTATTCGTAGCCATTTGAAGAATATTTGCCTTGTTTTTCCATATCTTCTCTCTGGCCTGGATTATCTCTTGCTGTACTTCCTCCTTGTGCCTCCTTTTTCCAATTAGGCCTTCTCTTTGTGACGCGGCGAGGCACACTCGTCCTCCATCAATTCCCATGAAATCACTGTGTAGCGAATCCACCCGTCTGCCCTGCCCTTCCTCCTTCCCACAAGGCACTTAAACTCTTAACACACACTCACAAACACATTTTCATACAGGCCTGACAAACTCCGCTTCGTCCACCTTTTTGTGAGGAAGTCCTGGTGCTCCGGAGGCTGCAGTAGCGTTGAAGGCCAGCAGGTGGCGGCAACGACTCTCTTCCCCCACAGAGAGCCTCTCGTGAAGGGTTAGCACAGGGGTGCCCAAGCTCGGTCCTGGAGGGCCGGTGTCCTGCAGAGTTTAGCTCTAACTTGCCTCAACACACCAGCCTTCAAGTTTCTAGTATGCCTAGTAAGAGCTTGATTAGCTGGTTCAGGTGTGTTTAATTGGGGTTGGAGCTAAACTCTTCAGGACACCGGCCCTCGAGGACCGAGTTTGGGCACCCCTGGGTTAGCGGGAAATCAGACGGACCTGTTGTGGGCCGCACCATCTGTCGACACGCTTCCAGATACTCAGGATGGGGGTGATGTCGCCGAGTTAATGCAGGTCATATACCCTGAGCTTAACATTTTCATGGGCGTCTTCTATGATATCAGCCTTCGTTTTCTCTGCGTTTTCACAATTTAGAGCACAGAAAATAAGGTGGAAAGAATGTAAAAGCTAGGTCACTGGAACGCTGGTTGCTTTCCAAAGAAGGTAACGTTAAGAGAGTGTCTCGGGATAGCGTTCTGAGAAAGAGAAAGGCCTTTCTAGTACCTCAGTAACAGATATTGAATGTATGCTCAACTTTCTGGCTTTGTACAGCTTTTTTAGATCATAGGTTCCTATTTCTGAGGGGGTGTGTATGCGTCTGCATGTATGTGACCTTGTGTGACTGCTTATCCAGTGCATCAGTTATTCGCAAATGACAAAATAAAGCGTTTTTCCCCCCTCCATGCATAGGATGTCTATTATATTGTTTCATTAGACGTAGTTTGAATCTCAGGCTTTAGCATTAGGAAGTTCTTAATCTGTGATTTTTGTAATTCTCTGTATAAAGGAGCACAGTTTCACGTCTTCGTCGAGATGTATGCTGATAAACAGAGGAGGTTTGAAACTCTGCGATTGAGGATGCGTTCTTGATAGCCGATGTTGTCGTAAGTGTCCTCAATCCTCATGGATTCGTGCATGATAACCATATCAGGCCCCACCCCCTCGCTTCCCATTGGCCACGTTTTGATGTTGAATTTTGAGTGACCTGCAGCTTTTCCTAGACTGAAGTGATGCCCTTTATTCTAGCTGCTCTGTAAGGTTTCTCCATACTACAGCGTTTTTGAATTTTTCGGGTTTCTTCTAGCATTACCGTGGTGTTTCTTTGCCGTCAGCATCATCCAGCTTTGATATGAGATGTGCACTATGTGTTAAAACCAAGAAATAAGTTTGTGTCATTCAGTGTTCAACATGTTGTATTGAAACATTTCAAGATGAGTCTCGGTCCATCCTTTCACCCTTGTCGTCCCGTGGTCCCCTCGCTGCCTTAATGTCGTTGATTGCGGTGAATCTTCCCCCCACAAATACACATGCAAGAGAGAGGAGGCTGTTTTCTTTAGCCATATGTTGCTCTGTGTGCTTGATGCATATTTTTGGAGAGCACGAATGGCTTTCACTTTGAGGTGTGAAATGCTCAGGCACTATGAAAGACCCTTTCAGGAGCCGCCGATGTGGTTAAATCTGGTCTGTGAAGGGAGGCTGGAGAGGACAGATATGGACTCGCAGCAGTCAGTTTCTCTCTCAGGGTTGTAATACACGCATATCCCACAGCCGCCAGTTACACACGTCCTCCATCCCAATGAAGATCATGTTGTAGATCTCCAGAGCTCGCCTACACAGTCCATCTTTCAACAGTGAGTGTCCTTCTGTGATATTTGTCCTTTCTATTGCTCTTTTTCTCTGCGTGTTTGTCGCACTGACACCTAACAACAGAAGAATGAATGTTTTAATAGAACTGCGTGTAACATTGAAGTTGGGAAATGTATTTTTACAACATGTGAACTTTTTATTCCTTTCTCTTACCTTCTTTTTGTTGTGAATTGATTTTTTTTTTCTCCCCATCACCAGACTGCAAAAAAGTAAAAACCACAAAAAAATAAAATCCTGTAACTAGGCTCTTAAGCTTTACTTTTGTTTTTGTTTACTTTTTTATTAGAAAACAATCATGTTTGTGATGGTAACTTCTGATGGTAAATTCCACAAGGTATTTTAATAAAATCCTAAAGATTAAACCCTTGGTCGCTCACTCTTTTATAACCTGAATTAAAGTTGAACTCTGAAGTCAAGACATGCACGACCATTCAAAAGTTTGAGAAATTAATACTTAAAGTACATTTTATTTGGCAAGGACGCATTAAATTGATAAATCGGTATATGCAGTAAATATATTTGTTTCAAAAGATTTAAATGTCAAACAATTAAAAAAAAAACTTTTTTATTAATCAAACAATCTTGAAGAATATATCACGGTTTTCAACATTAATCATAAATGTTTCTTAAGCAGCAGATCAGCATATATTAGAATGATTTCTGATAGATCATTTGACACCGAAGACTGAAAATACAGCTTTGCATCAAAGGAATATGTTTTTTACTAGATATTAAAATGGAAAATTATTATTTTAAATGTATTACTTGTTAATATTTCTTGTTTTATTGTTAAATTAAATGCATCCCTGCTGAGCATAACACTTAAAAAAAAATAATACAATTAAAAAAACTTTTGAATGGTAGTTTATTTTAAATGAAAAGCAAGAACTTTGTACTTTCAAGTAAGACAATCGTTTAAACAAATTACAGACAAATGTATCCATCAGGAACTGGTTGGTGAAAAGTGATGTTATATATCAGAATAATGTGCGTGTGAGTTTGCTAAAACCGTGTCTAAACCTGTAGAGACTTTGTAATGATGAAATATTACAAAGATGGGTGATTTTCTGTGTAGTAACATGCATTGATAGAAGAATCATACACCATAAGACCAGAAACATGAATTATGTCAGCTTGAGTTGAACTCTTAACAATATCATTTCTGTTGCCAGGATTATTTTTAAATGCTCGTGTGAGTTTAGACGAGCACTCATAACACGAGTTTTCCAGACTTGCTCTTCAGGTGTTAGCGGTTTTGTTCATACAACATCTTTGGTTGTAGGGAAAAGAAAAGCACAGTTTGAGGTGATTAAAGGGAGGAAAGTTTTTAGCAGGGTTCTCCCTCTGAATGTGTCCTGATGCTCGTTTATCAGCTAATGTCCCCAGGTGCTGATGTGTTGCCAATCAGGTTAATGAGGTGTTCAGGGCATATACCCCCTACCTCTGCTAAAGCTGAAATTGTTACCAAATGTCTCTGAGAAACTCCTTCTGCCACATATTAAGCCCTGTTGTCATAGGACAGGAAAAGCCTTTTGTGCATAAATGAGTTATGTAGTATGTTAAATAGTGTTTTTTGTGTGTGGCGCCTGTTGTTCGTGCCATTTCAGTTTGTTTGTTGAAAGCTGAATTTTAGGAGTGTAGGTTAACCATAAAGGTTTGGCAGTAAACATTTTTTATGTCTTGTAAATAAAGGAAACTTGTCTTGGAAAAACAGTGTAGCTTTTATATATATATATATATATGGCTTTCTCTGTATAGTTGAGTGAAATGGTGTTATACGTTAATAGGTGTTTTATGACGTTTTGATAAAGTCAGAAAAGTCAAGAAATCGAGAAAACCGTTTCACTGCAGTGATTCACCATTATGTCTGAAGCCCCGTAAGGATTGCGCAACTCACTGATGTTTACGAAGTTGTTGAACCTTTTAAAGACCGTTGGTTTAATTTAGCAAGTTCCTTTGTTTGTTCATTAACCTGAAACGGTCTTTCAATTTTAAAACACCTTTTTTAAACCCTATTTTATATGCATAACAAACACCCATATAGTTTCAAAGTGTCTAACATCTTCATATATTTCCATGATGTTTCACATAATAAAGTGGATTTTATTACATGCACTCTTAAAAAATAAAGGTGCTTCAAAAGGTTCTTCAAGCGATGCCATAGAAGAACCATTTTTGGTTCCACAAAGAACCATTCAGTCAAAGGTTCTTTAAAGAACCATCTCTTTCTTGCCTTTTTGTAATCTGAAGAACCTTCTTTCGCCACAAAGAACCTTTTGTGAAACAGAAAGATTCTTCAGATGTTAAAGGTTCTTTATAGAACCATTTAGACAAAAAGGTTCTTCTATGGCATCGTGAAGCACCTTTATTTTTAAGAGTGTGCTTTGAAAATGTCCAGTTATTGCACACATTTCCTAATTACGTTGAAGGAATAGTTCACCCCAAAATGAAATTTGTACTCCCCTCAGGCCATCCAAGATAAAAAAAGAGTTTGTTTCTTCATCGAAACAGATTTGGAGAAATCGCTTGCTCGCCAGTGGATCCTCTGCAGCCAATGGGTGCCGTCAGAATGAGAGTCCAAACCGCTGATTAAAAACATCACAATAAGTAAGGAACAGTTTACAACAGGCCGTTGAATGACATTGTTCAGATGTTGTATTTCGAGACATTTGTCAGGTTTTGTTCTTGAAACACTCTTGTGTGCAGGACTAGTTTCTTACGCATCTCATCCCACGCCTTGTTGCTAATTCCAAAACGGCATTTTAGACCTAGTAATGTAGGTTTGAGTCATTGACGGCAAACTAACACAGTTATTAATGCATTTATGAGAGAGAGATTAAGCGTGTGTGAATTACCCGAGCCTGTGCGTTTCTTTCAACACTGTTCGACAGCAGCGTCTCTACTATGATAAACCGTAAATTCATTTGTTTTACGAACAACGCCAATATGACCTCACTAGTGAGAAATGACGTGTAGCCAGTGCTGGGTAGTACCTGATTACATGTAATCTGGATTATGTATTCAGATTCCAAAAATTATGTACTTGTAATTTGAGCAGATTACATTTTTTAAATGCTCCTAATCAGATTAGTTACTTTTTATGGATTACATGATTGCGTATTATTCACACAGCGGCAGTAATTTATTCATAAATCCCTAATTCATTTTGAGTTTTTTTTTAATCAACTCAACAAACCCACTGCAGTTCTTACAACCCTGGTGTAATGTAATGTTTAATGCATTTTATAATGTTGATATAAAAAAGAAATGAACATTTTCTTTCTCTTTGCTTTTGTATGTCAATGTTACGTTTAATGGTAAGTTTTTAAAACAAGATAAAGTAGTCAATGCATTGCCTAAAATGAGTAACCTAGATTACATTACTAACTACAATTTTCATGTAATTTGTCATCCGTAACGGACTACAATACCCAGCACTGCGTGTAGCTTAGAAGCAGTGCTGACAACATGTTTCTGTGCACATGTATGTTTCTGTGTGCGTGTCTGTATTTGTGTGCGTTTGTAAGGGAGAGAGCGCGGAAGAACGAGAGTATTGCTTTCCGTACATAATAGAACGTAATTCTGTGGCAAAAACATGGAAGTAGTTTGTAGTTTTTATCTTGTGGTTTACTATATTCATTTGCTTTGTCAGTGTCTTTATGTGGTTTGGTTCTTTTGATGCTGTAGGCTTTTTTTAATGGATGTCAATGGAGGAGAGGCTTCACTACACTGAATAAACAGCTTTTCTTTTTTTTAGGAAACAGCCTATCATTTAATGAATTGACAGGCTATTGGGTAATCTTTGACATGTTTTACACTAAACAATAGTTTTGAGTTCAACTGTCAAAAAAAGTCACAGACTTTGGTTTTAAGGTGCATGTGATCCAAGTTGTCCGTTACAATTTCTCCCAGTAGTAAGACAATCTCTGGTATAATCCACAAGTAATCCTCATGACTCCAGTCCATCAATTAATGCTTTGTGAAGTGAAAAGTTGCATGTTTGTAAGGGTGTATTCACACCAGGAAAGTCCACTAGTTCACTTGCTTTGGTCCGGACCAAATACAATGTTGATTTATTTATTTTTAAATAAAAATGATGCTTTTACACGGTCCTTTTTGCAAGTGAACCAGAAATTGTAAACACGACCACACGTGTGCTTAAGGTCATCCATTCATTGGTTCATCCATTCAGCTGTACCAGAGTTTGTTTGGAAGCGGACCGAGACCACCTCTTCAGCTGGGTCTCGTTATGGTTTTTTGGTCCGCCCCCGAATGCGATTGCTGTGAACCAAACAAGAAAGGTGTGAAAACACCCTAAGAAACAAATCCCTGAGCTAGACATTTTAACTTGACTGTTGCTACTGGACATTTTAACATTGTTTGTTTTTAATTTCATAATAAGCAAATCTGCTTGTCATTATTCATCACAATTACATTTTAATGGGATGCATAAAAAAATATTTTCTTCAAATTATCTGAAAAAAAAAAACATTTCAAGTTACCCATGTTTTTCCCCACATTAACCTTAATTTCAGTGGAATTTAAGTGGAAACTCCTATTCTGTAATGCAGTAAGTGTGTGTTTGAGTGTCAGTGACCCAGAGTCCGATTACAGATGAGATGCTGTGTCGTATGTCTGCGCTGCACCTCCAGATGAGAAGGTGACCATGTATTATGTCTAAAACTGTTTCCCTCAGACAAGACGTAAAAGTAGGTTCCACTGTTTATGGGAGTCGCTCAGCACAGAATGACTGTTTATGCTGCACTCTGTCCCCATGTAAATGTTTTTTCTACAGATGATCGTCTCCGAGTCATTGCCAGTTTATTTGACATGGCTTCAACGCATCTCCACTTAATCCCACAAAATGACGTCATGCGTCCCGCATCCCACTGACAAGTTTGCAGGGAAAAAGTGAGCTGTTGAAGGAGTAGACAGCCGTGCTTGAAATACTGCACAGAAACGACCTTTTTGGATACTAAATTTGTTTTATTGTGCTTAGATGACTGAGCATGAGCTCATTTACCTTACGTCACTCTTTACCCAAAATGCCCCAAAATCGATCAAGTTTTTGGATTACAAAACTTTATATTGGCTGTTTTGTAACCCCAATTATTCAAAATCAACAAACAAGGCAATAAATCTTAGCAAAGTATTTCTTAGCGTATAGTGAAATA